AGGTTTGGGAACTGTAGGTATGGACTACTTGGCCCAATTTTCAGCTCTGCTTATGATGTAATCATTTCATAATGGTCGAGGAGTATGATGAGTACCTTGAAAGCTCTTGATTGTGAGCAAATAAACAACCTCTGGTTATAACAAGTTTGTTTTCTTTCTGTTTAAAATATATATTTGTGACTCTTCAGGAACAGAAAAATGTTTTTATTATCCAAATCAAAACACAGCATGAGGTACTTTCCAATAAAATCAACTGTAGATTATACACAAGTCAAAATCATCTGCCTGTTTACAGAGTTCAAAATCCTTCCAGGCACCAGGAAAAAAGTTTAATTTAAGATTTTAATCTTTCCATATATTACAGGGTTTAGGTAATGGATTTTGTACATCTGAAACTAAAAGATTGACAGGTCTGGATATTATAGATTTATTAACCATTGGTTACATGGTCAGAGTTAGTGTGTGAAGCATTTCTACAAAGCCTGAGGTAGGCAAGAGTTAAGGTTATATTAAAAAAAGCAGAAGTTGTGCTTTATTTCACAACGATCTTTTTCTAAGTGTAAACATTATTCACTGAGCATAAAAATATGATGTTGAACTCAAAGAAAAATATGATAAAATGCTGGGAAATTCAAGAGAAGTCTTAAACATTTACAAATGCAATCCTGCAGTGCACTGTTTTATCATTTTGAAAATGGGGCCCTTGGCACCTAGCAAAGGCTGGAGAAAATACATTTTAAAAATAAATAATTGAGGGGCGCCTGGGTGGCTCAGTGGGTTAAGCTGCTGCCTTCGGCTCAGGTCATGATCTCAGAGTCCTGGGATCGAGCCCCGCATCGGGCTCTCTGCTCAGCAGGGAGCCTGCTTCCTCCTCTCTCTCTACCTGCTTGTTATCTCTCTCTGTCAAATAAATAAATAAAATCTTAAAAAAAATAAAAAATAAATAAAAATAAATAAATAATTGAAGACAAAAATAATTCTCCAAAAAATCATCACTATTCTTAGGCTAATGTACAGAGCCAATGTATGCTGATTATATAAATTAGCTCATTTAATCTTTACAACCACCCAAATATACGTACTACCCTTGTCTCCATTTTATAGCTGCACCAAACAGAGACTCAGGGAGAAGAACCGACTTGTTTATGTCAGCTAACAGGTGGCAGAATTGAGATGCGCGTCCTATTTTCTCTTTCATCTGACATCCATTGTCTTAAAGGAAAGGTATCTTCAGATAAGCAATTTATGTGTATAACAATGTTAAAATGACAAGTGATTTGATAGGCCATGGAACCCCCTGATGGCTCAGAAATCACCAATTTTGCTTATCATCTTGGACTTTCTCTTATTGTTCTTTGAGAATTTGGATTATGGAAGACTCTGGTGGGAGTCTGAGAAATCTCTGGTTCATAGGCAAAATCTAGTTCCAGACTGGCTCTTTTCTGTTTCATTTTACTTGATGGCACAGAAGCACCACAGCTCCATAAAGATGCCAAGGAGAAATATGCTTGAAGACAGCGAGATAGCATGCTGGTCCATTCAAGTAGAGACGGATTCTGTAAAGGGATATGTAAGTTCGTATATTTTCCACAGCAGAAGATATGGGTTTTCTTCCACTGAAGTTAAGAATGGAGTTCAAGATCTACACTCCTAAAACTGAGGTAAGGATTACAGGGCTGTATGACACAGGCTGGGGCTGGTGATCATTCCTTTGCTCTAATTTAATGTGCTGTATATTCATTTTAAAGCAAAGGTGGATGGAGTCATTTATATTTAATATCTTAGAGAGGCTTACCTTTTTCTTTGCTTATAAAGATCTTGATAAATTTTCTCCTGTGAGTTTGACCAAATTAAGACCCTTCTGTTTTTGTTTTTGATCTTAGATTATGATATCAGAAGGATGCTGGTTGATGAGAACTTAAGTTTTATATATTAGGCCTCTATGTTACCTTCTTGGCTCTATTGCCCGTTTGTTTGCTTGTTTAGTTTTTATTTTGATTCCAGTTAGTTAACACAGGGTGCTGTATTAGTTTCAGGTGTACGATAGAGTGATTCAAGAATTCCATACATCACAGCAAGAGAGCTCCTGAATTCCCATCTCCTATTTAACCCATGCCCACCATCCATGCACACTCTGGTAACCATCAGTATATTGTCTGTAGTTAGAGTCTGTTTCTTGGTTTGTCTCTCTTTTTGCTCTTTTGTTTTGTTTCTTAAATTCTTCGTGAGTGAGATCATATGGTATTTGTATTTCTCTGACAGACATTTCACCTTGCTTTACACTCTCTAGCTCTATCCATTCATTCCTTTTTATGGAATGAATTCCTTTTTCCTTTCATTCCTTTTTATGGATGAATTTTATATATATATATATAATATGCACATTAATATAACATATTATTAATATACATATTAATATATGCCATCTTCTTTATCCATTCATCAATTGATGGACACTTGGGTTGCCTCCATATCTTGATTATTGTAAATAAAGCTGCTATAAACATAGAGGTGTATGTATTCCTTTGAATTAGTGTTTGTTTTTATTCTTTGGGTGAGTACCCAGTAGTGTGATGCTTGATCATAGGATAGTTCTATTTTTAACTTTTTGAGGAAACTCCATACTGTTTTCCTCAGTGGTGGCAACAGTTTGCATTTCCACTAACAGTGCTAGAGGGTTCCCCTTTCTCCACATCCTCACCAGCACCTGTTGTTTCTTGTGTTTTTGTTTTTAGCCACTCTGACAAGTGTCAGAGAATAACTACATTGTAGTTTTCATTTGCATTTCCCTGATGATAAATAATGAAGAGCATCTTTTCATGTCTGTTGGTCATCTGTATGCTTTCTTTGGAGAAATATCTGTTCATCTCTTCTGCCCATTTTTAAATTGAGTTATTATTTTTTGGGTGTTGAATTTTTAAGGTTCTTTATATATTTTGGTTACTAACCTTTTATCAAATATATCATTTGCAAATATCTTCTCCCATTCTGTAGGTTGCCTTTTAGTTTTAGTGATTGTTTCCTTCACTGTGCAGAAGTTTTTATTTTGATGAAGCCCCAATAGTTCATTTTTGCTTTTGTTTCCCCTGCTTCAGGGGACCTATCTAGAAAAAAGTTGCTACACCAATGTTAGAGAAATTACTGCTTGTGCTCTCTTCTAGAATTTTCATGATTCCAGATCTCATATTTAGGACTTTAATGCATCTTGAGTTTATTTTTCTGTATGGTATAAGACAGTGATCCAGTTTTATTCATTGCTGGTTGCTGTCCAGTTTTCCTGACAGCATTTCTTGAAGGGACTGTCTTTTTCCCATTGGATATTCTTTCCTGCTTTGTCGAAGATAAATTGACCATATAATTATGGGTTTTTGTCCCTAGGCTTTCTATTATGTTCTGTTGACCTACATGCCAGTACTGTACTATTTGAATTACTACAGCTTTGTAATATAATTTGAATACTGGAATTGTGATGCCTCCAGCTTTGCTTTTCATTTCTCAACACTGGTTTGGCTATTCAGAGTCTTTGGTGGTTCCATATAAATTTTAGGATTGTTTCTTATTATTTTGGGTACAGTTATAAATGATATTGTTTTCTTAATTACTCTGCTGATTAATTATTGGTACATATGCATATGCAACCTATTTCTGTACATTGATTTTTATCCTTCAAACTTTACTGAATTCATTTTTTAGTTCTAATAGTCTTTTGGTGGAGTCTTTTAGGTTTTCTATATATAGTTTCATGTCATCTGCACATAATGAAAGCTTTATATCTTCCTTACCAATTTGGATGTCTTCTATTTCTTTTTGTTGTCTAATTGTTGTGGCTAGGACTTCCAGTACTATGTTGACTAAAAGTGGTGAGAGTGGACATCTTTGTCTTGTTCTTGACCTTTGGGGGAAAAGCTCTCAGTTTTTCTTCATTAAGTCTGATGTTTGCCATGGGTTTTTCATATATGGTCATTATTATGTTGAGGTATGTTCCCTCTATACCCACTTTGTTGAGGGTTTTTATCATGAATTGGCATGGTACTTTTTCAAAAGTACAACTTTTTGGCCGAGATAATCATTCAAGTAAATGAAAAATATATCTTTGCTAATTATTTTATGGAAAGGACTTGCTGATGGCCAACATAGTTGCTAACCAATTGATCTCAGTGCATGTTCTACTGTAGCTAAACTTATTCCGATGGAGATAATAGAAATTTGTGTCAATTTTATCTGAAGACTAGATATTAGAGATAAAATCGCATTTTGAAGTGAATTTAACACCTTAATCCATTTTAAATTTTACTGCAACACCATTTCCATACTTTCCTTATGTTAAAAGACAGAGCAAAGAGATTTCACTTTAATCCTTATTCCACGGTGTTAATGCAATCAGATTTGTACCTAAGGATGAAGCTTATATCAAAATATAATAATTCACTAAACCATAAAAGCAACCCACTAGTGACTAAATGGCACAATGGAGGCTATATAGCTTAGAGGGGCAAAATTCAACTACCATAACTGGCCACAATCTAATAGAAAGGGTAGAGTAACTATTGTCTTTCTGAATTCCTTACTCACTGCTATAATAAAGGCCAAATCATATAACATCAATGATCCAATCTTGGGAGTCCTGCAGAATGAATGTTTGAGGTCATTCAGATCTATATGACTTACCTGGGTTGTATATAAATAAGAAGGCAGATTTTAGTACTTAAAAAAGAAAGTATTACTTTTAAAGAAAAGAATATATCTATGTATCTATATATCTTTATCTACATACCTACATCTGTATCTATATGTATATATGCATATACTTATTTATGTATAGACTTAGGAATTGGTTTGGATTATTCTGTTTGTACTTATCCAGGAGACAGGCTATTTCCTTCTGCTTTACTAAATTTACATTTCCCTCCTTATCTTCAATTAACTTTCTCTGAAATGTTTTACATACACATATGCATGTGCACACACACACACACACACACACAATTTTATTTCTTTACCTGGTGTAGTCCAAGCTACAAATATGGAATAAGGCCCGATTACTGTGATATTATATGGAGGCTGGATTTCTTCTGGTGTCAGTACAGGTGTTTGTACAATGTAATCATCACTAGGATTGCTGCCACCTCCAGTTGTGGCTTCCAATTTATAAATGTATCTATATTAAAAAGAAAGGATCGTGATAAGGCAATGCACAAGAAACTTGAACAACAGTTGCTGGGCTTTCTCTCCATTGCTTAGTCCTAAATTATGACAAATTGCAAATTTTCTGCTCCCTGTCCAGAAACATCATTGTTGACTTGATAATTTTTCCAGAATAGGCATCACTCTCTCTAGACTGTCACTATTTCTGCCCCTTCCCACTTTATTTTTAACCTGCTAGTAATCAATTAGATTTCAGGGAAGTCTTTGAGTTTGCCAGCAGATTGTGAAGGATTCAAATTAATCTTCCCCATTTTTTTTTTTTTTTAGATTTTATTTATTTCTTTGACAGACAGAGATCACAAGTATGCAGAGAGGCAGGCAGAGAGAAAGGTAGGGAAGCAGGCTCCCCGCTGAGCAGAGAGCCCGATCCAGGGCTCCATCCCAGGACCCTGAGATCATGATCTGAGGTGCAGGCAGAGGCTTATCCCACTGAGCCACCCAGGCGCCCCAATCTTCGCCATTTTCAACTAGGTTGGAGTTCAGGGAAATATGTTTAAAGGAAGATGTTTCTAAATTGATCTGCTACTTTCTACAATAATACTGAATTGATCTCTACTCTCTGCAGTAAAACATCTGTTGATCTAAGATACATTTTGTTTCTGCTGAGATATGAATTGGAATGAATTGCAAATATGTGGAAATTTCCCCCCCCAAACCATTCATACCTATATAGAGTGCAGCAAGCAGAGAAAACATATTAGAAGAAAAGTTAGTTGATGTAAAACAAAACTCTTTAAATCTTTTTTATTGCTAGCTTAGGCATGCATGTTTTTGAAGATAATTTGATAATTTTTTTAAAGTTTAATACTTAGTGTATTTTATATACTTAAAAGATGTCATGTACTCTAAAGACTAAAGTTGTGAGTTAGCACTTGAGTCTTCAACATCTGAAATGAATTAAAAGATCTAATCAGTTATGGAATGGCTACTGAACACAGAGATTATTCAGCCAATTAATTTATTATTGTTTCATTTTGAGGTGCACTCTTTTCAGCCCTGGAGAATTTTAAATTCTAACTATATGATCGGTAAAATTTTTCTTTAGTTCACCTGCTGTTGGGCTCCAGGTTTTTATCAGTAAAATTCTGCTCCTCAGTGCCACCCAGGAATACCAAGGTTCCGTTACGACTCAATTGATACTGAGAGATGAGGCCATTGGGCTTTTCTGGCGGACTCCAAAATAACTCCACTGTTGTGGAATTGATGATAATGTGTCGAGGTGTCACCCAAACCCCTGGAAAAAAAATAACACAATGAGGTTTTACTGTTTGAATAAAATATATACCTTATCAAAAGTCACACCACAACCTCACATCTTATGATATTTTTGTCTGTTGTTAAAAAATCTCAGGGTGAGGAAACCAAAATACATTTTCCTTACTTTAGAGGTAAAATATACAATTGGGTATAAATACATGTTTCAGTGCTTTATTTTATTTGTAAATTATCTTTAGAAAGTGAATATCAGACATTTAGTGGTGGAAGATTTCTCTGTATCGGCTGTGACCCTGAGTTTAATAAAAGCCTGAAATACTACCCAGGAATTTTGAACTTCGATGCCTATATACTTGGAATATGTGGAAGTAATCATAAAGTAGTATTTACCTGAATTATCAAATTCAATGAATAACATACTTTGCCTTTGTCTCTCTGATGCGATGTTCTATGCTTCTTTTCCTCTTTTCTCTCATTTACTGGCTTCTCTCCCCTACTGGATCTCAAAAATGGGCCTCAGAGACCTAGGCTTTCTCCTCTCCCTTAGTGCTTCCTCTTCTTTCTTTTCCTCTTGTTTTCCAACATTCACTTTCTAGGTGATCTTCACCTCACTTTTAGTTTTAAGTATCATCTATAAGTTGAACACTACCAATTGCATATCTCTAAATGAAAACTCTCCTGAGCTTCAGACTCCTGAACCCAGCTGTCAACCTGACACCTCCATGTGGATGACTGACTAATTAAGTATCAAAATTTAAAACATCTAAAACAGAACTCTTGGTTATTCTGTTACAATCTATTCATCTCCCGATTTTGTCCATCTATTCATTTTCTTGGTCAAAACACACAAAATATTATTCTTGAGGCTCCCATTTTTTTCAACTTCAAATGCAATGTCATCATATCCTGCTCATTCTACCTTGAATGTCTCTAGTTCTCCATACATATAGTGCCATCTCTTCTGATCCAAGCTGCATCTTTCTCTTATGAACCTCTACCATAGCCTCTAAACTGGTCCCTGGGTTTTAATCTTGCCCTTCTCTGTTTCACGTAATCTTCATAAAAGTAGACAAAGTATATCAGAGCACCCGGGTGGCTCAGTTAGTTAAGCACCTGCCTTCGGCTCAGGTCAGGATCCCAGGGTCCTGGGACTGAGCCCTGCATCAAGCTCCCTGCTTAGTGGGGAGCCTGCTTCTCCCTCTCCCTCTGTTCCCCTGCTCCTGCTCTCTTGCTCACTCTCTGTTTCAAATAAATAAATAAAATCTTAAAAAAGAATATGAAGGATATATATAAGTCATTGTAATCTTTATAAAATATACAACCCTTTTGAAATTATTCCTATAATTCCAATTCCTTATGATAACCTGAACAATCCTACATATTTTCTGGTTATGGTCTACCTGGCTCCAGCCACAGCAGACTCCTCTCTATCCCTAGAATGCTTCCAGTTCTTTCTCACCTCTAACCTTTCGCACTTCCATTCCTTCTGTCTGGAACTTTTGGTTCTGACAACATGACATTTTTGTAACTTATTTTCATAGTTCAGTGACCTGTACAGGTATCATCTTCACAGAGAGGTCTTATTTGACCAAACTTCTCTAATGATAACTTTAATCTTATCTCAAGTGATCCCAACCTACTTTCTCTCTATCCTAGGTCCTTTTCTATTTTCCTTTAACACTGATAATATCATAATAATTTTTCTTGATAGTATCATTATTTCTATGTTACAACTGCATGATCTGCTTCAATATAAAGTTAGTTTCATGAGGGCAAGAATCTCCTCTATCTTATTTCTCAAGGTCTTAATGCATAGATAGTACAATGCCTAGTTGATACTGAATAAATAAATTAATTATAAATACACACAAATTACTATGTTAAGCACTGTAGGCAGTTCTGGAGAATGTAGGTGTGAGTAAAATATGGCTCATTCCTACAAGGAGTTTACTCTCCTGTGTAAAAGTTAAAATAAATACACAGACAACTGTCATTCAAGGTCAAACATTCAGATACTCTTAGAGATGTACAAACATGTCGATGGGGAACCTAGGCAATGAGGAAAATCAATCCAGCCATTTCACGTCATCATCTAGGTATCCTCTGAATGGACACTAATTCTCTTCTTCAGTTTTTAAGAACTCAAGAAATATTAGGTTCCCTGTAATCAATAGTTTTTGGTTGATTTCATCTCTGGTGTAAGTTATTCAGTATGGGATAAGATTTCAACACTTTTAAAAGAAAAATTTTCAGGACATTCAAATGCAATTTATTTAGGAACATCCTAAAGAATCAAGGAAAATCAAGATAGATTTTAAAACAGCTCAAACTTGCTGATTTTTAAAGGAACAACTTATTTCTAAGAAGAAAGTAGTTCATTTTGTTCTGAAATAGATATCTGGATAAATCCACAAATCATAGTATACGTTTATGTCTCAGTTTCTCTGACAGTCATTGTTAGATGAGTCAACCAACTAATTTGAGTTCTGTTTCAAACATGATATTAATTTGTTGATTTAAGAGATAAAGTATAAAATTTCGTTCATAATCTCTTTCCTGCAATCCTGTCTTTTTCACCTTTAAGGATGTATTAAAAATCATCAAGGTACTAAGAAGGCTTTTGCTTAGTTTCCACTTTGAATCAGTCGGTCAGCCTGTGGAAATAGAGGAGTGAATGAAATAACGTGAATCAAGATTTTGGGTTTGTTTCAGGTTTTAAATAAAAATTGAGTTTCATATTTATGCAAGCTGGTGAAAGCTCTGGTTTTGTTGGTAACAACCCTGTATCCACTGGGTTGGAAATAAGAGGAAACTGAAATGTGTAAAATATACTACATGCCATATGGTTTTACTTGTATAATGATATGGGGACACTATTATGTTAGCAGTTGCAAGAAATCTTTGATAGAATAAGACCCACTTTTGGTGAAATGCCTTCATGGGTCCCAGGTAGAGAATCTGCTTTCCTCTGTGAGCCTGAGTCTCAGGTGGCATCAGAAAAACCTATCCTACGTAATAGAAGGTCAGAGTTGAGACAATTCAAGGAAAGGAAGAGGATGGTCATGAGGTCAAAAGGAAATCCTCTCGAAGGTGGGCAGGGAGGAGGTAAACTAGCTGAGAGGTATAAGAAGGAAAGGTCAGAAGGAAACCTTGGTGGTAGGTCTTTTGCAATATTAGCTACCAAAAAAAGAACACGTCTATTAGATTTGTTTTACATTTGTTTAGAGTGCCACAAAATATTATCCACTTCTCATTTCTCTTCAAATCTTCACTCTAATTTAAAAATACCAATATTTATTTTGGATTGGCTTTCTTTTGGAAGCCAGTAAGGGGACTCAGTTTTGTATTGGCTGATGTCCTGGATGCCTTGACTTCTAGACTATTATGATTTATAAATTTATCCAAAGTCCACCCAATTTTGTGTCATTTTCTGTGTCAGGCACTGTGGATATAGGGATAAGGACATATAGTCCATACCTTTCAAAGGACTCATAGTATTATGGTGAATAAAGATGACTGAATAAAAATTTATAATCCACTTTGCTAAATGATTTAGGAAGCATAGTGCTTTGGAGTACTTAGGAAAGGCAGCAACACAGACCTGAAGTAACACAGGGATGGGTGGGAAACAGATTTCTAGAAGGGGAGGACATGTGAGCCAAATTTTTTAAAAAATGGGTTAGCTAAGTGAGGATGTAGGAAAGAGATCTAAACTGAGGGGACCCACACAAAGTCCTTGAAATACAGGAAAGTATGGTAGAATTCCAAGTACCTCAGCATGGCTGGTGCATTGGATGGCCTGTGGGAAAAATCAAAAGACTCAACGGATAGCAGAGGTTAAAATTTGAGGGATCTATTTTGCTTTACTTAAATGTGGATTTTTTTTTTTTTCCTGGAAGGAAGTGAGATTTTATGGAGCTGACTAATGTGAAATATGTCTATTTTGGCACAAGGGGGAGAAGAATTAATATGAGAAAGAGGAGAAATGACTAGGGGCAGGAAGACTAATTATGGGAAGTTAAAGGCATCTGACCTAAGTCAACACCAAAAGGGATATAAAGGAAGTACACATTCAAAAATTCCTTAGATTTATTAATTTACAATTTAAATTTAAAAATTTATTATAATTTAATAAAATTGTTAAATATAATAAAATTTAATAAAAAATAAAATTAATTAACTTAAAATTAGTTAAAGTCAATAAGATTTTATGAAGAACGGCACATTACAACCTAAAAAAAAGGTACACATTAAGAAGGTCCATTTTGGGCTGATGAGGTGGATGATAGTTCTTGAAGGGAAAAGGGAAGAAAAATAAACTAGGTAATGAGGAGAGAGATTTTAAGTGTTGAAATACTGAGACTGAAGTATTTGCAAAACACCTAAATGAAAACATCTATAGATTGGTGGATGCACAGGTCTTAAATCTATGTGCAGGCTTTGTGAGAGCTGAGGACTCTGGGAGCTTGTACTTGAGAATTCCAAGAGATACTGTGGTGTTCCAAGTGTAAAGAGTAGAGGAAGAATCTAAAGGAATGTCAACAGTTTAAAAAAAAAAAAGTCAGAGGAAGAGAGATCTGGAACACAGCTGAGAAAGATTCACCTTCTTTTCCTTTTTCCCCCCATATGACCATTGCTGGAGGTAAGCATGCCTACAATTTTGCACGACTGAACTCTAAAATTAGAGTTTGCTGATATGGCAGCACTTCTAAAAGGAAAACAAAAATCCAACTTGAACTCTCCCTATTTGACAGAAGGTACACAATTTTCTGTGAGGATAAAACTGTAGAGAATTATGTCCGACTTATAATGAGGTAGTAATGTACGTTAGCTTTTTTTTTAAGATTGAAAATGAGAGAGAAAAAAATGAGAGAGGAGCTTAGGGTGCTATGAACCAATGCTTCTTTTCATTCTCTCCATTTCTGCTTAGGACACTCAAGTGTTAGACCTTCAAACTATGTTGGATTCACTCAAATAGGCATTTTGTAATTAATTATATTTGGGTTACTAATTTAACACAAGATGATATGCTTATTTCCATGTTACAGTAAAACAACAGAACTTAATGTTGCTGTTGATTTCTTCTCCTACAACCCCCAACTTAAGTAGTCAGACTATATTTATTTCCCATACAAGTTACTCACAAATGGAACTTATACAGGCAGAAAATGGATTCTTTATCCATGTTTGTTCTGCAGAAGAAAGCCCATTTAGTTTATTATTCCTGTGCACAGTTATTTGTGTTAAAGGAAAGGTGTACAACATTAAAAAAAGAAATCAAGGAAAACATTTCTCATCTCACTCTCCTGTGTTGTTGAAAGCTATAATTTTTAAGTCATGAAATCTGAGCTTTTTCCAGAGTTTTTTTTTTTTTTTGAAAAGTGGGAAAATAGACACATATTTTCTAAGAATTTAAATATCTGGATTTGATGAGTACACTGAAGCAAGAGACCCTGTTATTTTACCAGGTTTGAGCTGCAGCCAAAGCTGGTTGATAGATCCTTTAGAAATTATCCATTATCATCAAAGTATCCATTTGATAGTTTACCTTTCCAAAAAATCCACTGCTGGTTTCTTCCTTTCAAAGGAACACTAAGCTTTTTGACATGAAACATTCTTTATATAGAAAACATCATTAGTGAAATCCTGGTGAGGAGCCATATGCCCCATATGTGGAATTTTCCATTTTATTCCCCATTTACTGGTAGGAAGTTCAGGTCTAATATTCTGAGGTACAACAATCCCTTTCATTAGAAGAGTAATGGACAAGCAGTTCAGGACTCTCCAATGGTAATTAACATCATATTTCTGTTCAAAAACTCATGTATGCCTCTGTTTCCCCCACATTTAAAACAGGCTGATAATAAAGATAAGCAAAATAGTTGATCACTATCCCAAGCTTCTGAGCCTATCTTTCTTCTAAAAGTAAATGATAACACTCACCCCAGTTCCCAGCCCACTGGTAACCATTGTTATGTGTGTATGCTTCCAGAATTTTTTCTGAATTTTTATTTATCTATGGAAATGAATATAATTTTCTATGCATTTTTATACATAAAAGATACCATGCATTAATGTAGTTCTAAATTACCTCTTCATATGTTTAGATTGTCTCATTCTTTTAAACTGAAGTATGGAATTTCATAATGTGAATATACCTGCATTTATATAGCCATTCCCCCATGCAGAGATATTTAAATTACTTCTGATATTTTTCCATTAAATAAAAATACCAAAAATGTTTCAATAAACATTCTGGTATATGTCTCTTGTATATTTGTGGAAGTGGGGTTTTCCGGCATAGATACTGAATGTGAAACTACTGTGTCATAGAAAATCAATGTTCTAAATTTAATAGACATTGCCAATTTGCCTTCCAAGGTGATGATCCCACTTTATATCCCCTCAACCTGTGTTGGATTCTGTATCTCCTCTAGTGTTTATTTGTCAAAATCCTTGTTTTCCTCAGAACTCACTTGCTCCAACAAATCTTTTTTGATTTTCATAATGAGTTATAATCTCTCCCTCTTCAGATTAACCTGAGCATTCTGTTCATTTTTTTTAAACTGAAGTATGATTATTATACAATGTTATACTAGTTTCATGTGTACAACATATTTATTTGGCAATTCTATACATTACTCAATGATAGGTGGGGTCACCATCTCTCACCAGACATTATTAAAACATTATTGACCATTTGTTCTTTCTTAACATCACCTTTCAGATTCTCTCTTTCACTTTTTTTTTAAAGATTTTATTTATTTATTTGTCAGACAGAGAGGCAGGCAGAGAGAGAGGGGAAGCAGGTTCCCCGCTGAGCAGGGGACTGATGTGGGGCTTGATCCCAGGACCCTGGGATCGAGGCTTTAACCCACAGAGCCACCCAGTTGCCCCCTCTCTCACTTTTTAAAAAGACGTTATTTATTTATTTATTTATTTGAGTGGCGGGGATGGGAAGGGGAGCAGAGGAAGAGATAGAATCCCAAGTAGACTCTGCACTGAGCCTGGAGTCCAACATGGGGCTCAATCTCACCACCCTGAGATCAAAACCCTGAGATAACGACCTGAGCTGAAATCAAGACTCCAACGCTTAACTGACTGAACCACCCAGGCACCCTGATTCTCTCTCTTAATGTAAGTGTAAGTACTTTTCCTGTGTCTTTGACTTGATGGTAACTTCATGGCAGCGAGCACATCCTTGTTATATATCAGGCATTCCAGAAATATTTAACTTTTGATTTTTTGAGGAATTTTATATCCCAGTACATAATAATTTTTTTCACTGAAAACTAAATTTAAGAGGTTTAAGCAACAGAAAGCAAAATTTATGTTGGGAGGCTTACAGTTGAACCAAACCTGAAGAATGGGAGCCTAGAATATAATTTATCAACTTTACTCCTTTGTTTGAAATGAAAGGGTTTATAGAATTCACTTCAAAATGCCATATGAAAACTTCTCCCAAATCATGGATATATTTTTTTTAAATTTTTTAATTACCTTCAGGGGCTGCCTGCAGCGTCTGACCTAGAAAAGGCTCACTTGAAGTGCATCCAGCAGATGTACAAGCTGTAAGTGTGAAGCTGTAGTTGGTGTATGGCTGGAGACCTAGAAAGAGCAAACAAGAAATAAAGTACATCTTGAGAGGATTATTTATTATCAATTAAGCACCGAAAGTAACATGCAGGGTTGTAGATATGATTTCCAAAAATTTTAAAAGCAGAAAACACTCTTTAATGGAGATAGGAACTTCGCAAGCATCTTGATATAAATAGAAAATTCATTTATCATTAATAAAGTAATAAATTCTCAGCCTTAGAAGAAATCTTAAAATTCATGCAAACCATCCACCCATCCATCTTTCTCCTGATTCTCTTGTCCAAGAGGTAACTGAAAAGACTGCCTTGCCTAGGTAATCAGAGTACTCATCTCTCAAAGAGCCTGTTCCATCTTTAGAGAGCTCTAGAGTTCTCCTTATTTTGTTTGAAAGTCCTTCTTTATATTGTGGTGAATTCTTTCCATCACTTGCACCCCTAGGGACATACAGAACAAATCTAATTTCTTTTCCACATGACAGTTCTTCAAATATTTGTAGACAGTTATCAAATGCCCCCTGAGTCTTTTCTTCTCCAGGCTAACCATCCTAGTTTCTGCAACTGCTTCTCATATGAGAAGGGGTGGAAAAAATAAAAAGAAGGTTAGATTCAAAATTTTTTTACCCTCAAGTCATATTCAGCTTATATTCATACCCCCCCCACCTTTTTTTTTTTAAACTTTGCACTTCTTCACCATGTGTGCCCATAGAGTACCAGCTCATCTTAAGTTCTGTAGTTTTTTGTAGGGGGGGAATGTTGGCTTTGTCTTTACACATTGATTAAACATAATTTTATGAAGGGACAGTGCTATGGTATTCAGAATATGACACAGCCCAGTAACTGCTCAGTAATTTCTCAGGAAAAATATAATACTCAAGTTACTTAGCTTCTCTTTGCCTTGATCTTCTGATCTGTAAAAATGGGAAATACAGCAACTAGCTTTTAAGGCTCTTGTGAAGATGAAATAGGTTACTTAGAGAAGCCCTTTCTTTGAGCAGAACCAACCTTAAAATTCAGCAGCATTAGACAAGGCTAACATTTCTTGCCTTGATTTTTGGGAAAATCCAAACAATGCCAAAGCTCAAAAATTTTCCCTTCCTTAAATAATAAGACTTCGTCTATATGTTGAATAATTAGGCTAAGTGATAGATTGCTCTACTAATTATTATATTAATTTTTCATGAATTCTGAACTACATTTTCACATATATTGTTCTTCTGGTAGGTGACTTTTCCCAGAGACATTCATGAATCACTCTGTGGCTTTGTGTAGATTTTTGCTCAAATGCTACCTTTTTAAAGATTTTTGACTACTCTGTCTATACACTACACCCAGCACCTGTTATTCCCTCAAATTACTTTCTTCTTCATAGCCCTCAACATTATCTGATGTTTTATTATGTCTGTATATTCATTGTTTGTCTCCCACTCTAGGGCATAATCTCTAAAAGAGCACAAACGGATCTGTATCTAAAAGATCCCAGCATATCCTTCGAATAATGACTGGCACAAAGTAGGTGCTTGTTAAATGAGTCAAAAATTAATTTAACTGATTCATTTAGTATTAGAGCAGTCGTGTGGGTTCTCTGCTAAAGCAATAATGTTCTGTAGCTGGAGCTGCTTCAGAATTCAGCTTCAAAACACTTTGTGTTTCCTTATCAATTTAGTGATAAGATGCAGATACTTATTTGATTCTAATCTTCCATTTGGTTGCTACGGAGGATTTACATAATTTTGATATTTACCTGATTTATAGATAAGAAATATGATGAAAGATCTAAGCCATATCCAAACCATATATGTTTGATAAAAGCTTATGGGAAAATGCTAAAGATTATAAAATACAGAGCTCAAAAGGAAAAAGGAGGACTCTTCTAAGAATGAAGGTCAGAGACGGCAGTGGCAGGCTGATTCCGTCTAACAACGCACCCTCTTTACTCTTGCTGCTGGAAAAGGGGGTCTAGACCCTTGTAGCACCATTTCATCTGAATAGCTCAATTTCTCACTTACAATGTAAGCCCTTAGAAGGTAAGGCTTATGTCTTTGAGGGTTTTTTCATCATATTTTCTCAGTAGTGCCTATTGTAGGTGTTTGATGTTTGTTAAATAATGTTTAAAGAACACAAAGCCCATACAAGTGCTCCATAAAGATGTCAGGCTATGATATCTATGACATCCAGTCAAAGTGTGATCTGACCAAACAGGCCCTTCCTCATAATTCCATGTCTATCTCTGCTGACCACCTTTATTCATTGTGTAAGCAATTCTATTCTAGTTGTAGAACACTACTAAAATAATACAAAAATTAATGGAATGTGTAAACAATAAATATTTTCTAGATTTTGTCTGAATGCCAGATGGTAACTATGGCTGGTACAAGTGAAGCAACGCTTGGTCTTTCTCTAGATTTTCCTATCAAACAAAAACAAACAAAACCCTCCAAATGAGGCCCAATTCTCCTCTTCATTTTGTGTTCTAGCTAGTCTGATTCAGACAAGTGGTGACTGCTGGAGGATATTTTAGGATGCATCTTAGAAAAGGTAGAGCAAATTTGTCATTACAAAGGCGTTCTAAGGCTGATGAGAGGTTTGAAGGTGTTTGCAATGGGGACAGCCGCTAAAAAGGAAATTAATGTACATGAAAATAGAAATTGTCCTTTCCTTACAAAATCTTTCTGAAGCAAATTGAGTGGTATCCATTTTACATATAGCCCAGAACACCAGAATACAAGCTATTTAGAAATGGTACAACAGTGGAGTAGCTAGCTCATTAGGGATTTTTGATAGATTAAGGAAGGTGTGACAGAGAAGTCTGTTACAGGTATTTAATTGGATGGTGTGGGTTGGCCTTGAAGAGCATGAGGCCAGGTCTAGGGAAGGAATATGCATCTCTTGAAGCTACTGGAGTAACAGAATCAGGGAGAAAGGATGCAGAACTGAGCACTGGGTAGAGATCCTCATTTAGGAATCCACAGGCTTTCAAAGACATTACCAATCAAGAGGAATGAATGTGATAAACTTGAGAAAGGAAACAAAAATGGAAGAACAAGAAAGACAAGAGTGGGAAGTGTGAGACTTTAAGTGAAGGAGGGGAGGACAAATGGACTTAATCTAATTCATGGGCAGTTCATCCTCAAGGACTGTGTCTGGCCCTGAAATGTGGGTCAGATGGAACAAAGGTAGACAAATTCACCTCATTTCAACTCACATTTGCCAGTTTGTGTCATACAACTCCACATCTGGTACGTTTACCTTCCAGAGTCCACTCACACTTTCTTTTACTACAGAGCTTCAGTTTTCCTTGTGGAAACCAGTCTTTTGGCTACCAACAGGCTCTACGCCTTGTTTAGGATTGACACCACCTGGACTGACTAGTCCTGGACACGGTTCCACATTCCAGTGTGGATGTTAGCTGCTCAGGATTGAGTCTGTGACTTCATTTAGACTAAGGGAAGGCAGGCCTTGAACATGAACTTTTATTCTTAATTGCTGGTAGTTTTTTGTTCACCACATAGTGCTTGAGAATGGAAGAGACCTCAGAGGTAAAAAGAAATTGGGTCTTGGAAACATCTCAGCCTGGAGTCTACACCTGATTTATTTTTTAGTTTCAAGCCAATAAGTGTCCATTTGTTAAGCCTGCTTGAACTGAATTTTCCATAACTTCCAAGAAAAAGATTTCTAAATAATACTAATATTATAATGACTAATAATATCACATGCCAGCACACAAGTTCAGATACTTCCATGTTACACAAGGGGACCATAAGCAGCTGTTATTACGCTATGCATGTTAGAGATAGTTAAAAGATTCTGGTTGAGATAATCAGCAACAACATGAAAAGGTTTAGTGGAAAGGTGAAGAGGTTTCAGCTTGAATATCACCAGGACAGGAATTAGTATTCCTGCCTCACAGGTAAGAAGACTGAGGCTCAGAGAAGCAAATGTTCCACAGTGAATGATTGATCAGACTGGGGTAGAGACAAAAGCACAACTTTAACACCAAACCCTGTGCCTTCCCATCACACAAGAGCTACAGCAAAGTGTACTGAAATTTTTCAACAGCTCTGTATGTTAATTAAACATGTATTATGAGAAACAGAGTTATTTTTAAGGAAATTGATTACTAAATTACATAAAAACATAGTAGCTGAAGTTGACTGAACACCACTTGCAGGCCTTCTTCTGTGCACTCCTGGATATTAACACAATCAAAAACCTTGGTAACTCCCTGAGGCACTGCAATTATCTGCTTCTTTTAGAGGTAAGGGAGCTAGAGCATAGATGGAGAAAATCAACTGTTTTTATAGAGACAAGCTTGGGCGAGGTCAGGATAGAAGTCTGGGCAGCTGGGCTGAGAAATATGGCCCAGAGCTTCTGAGACATTGGAAAATGATGACATAGGTAGCTCAAAGCCCAATGAAGTACATATACATATATATGTATATATACATATACACACACACACACACATATGCACATATATATGCACACACAGTATACATAGTATATCTTCACAGTATATCTATACTATGTATCTATATCTCTCCAAGTGGGAATCTATATTTAAATATTTAAATATTTCCATTTTGAATATTTCTACAATCATGTACTGAAGCAGAGCAGCCTTTCTGTTAGGAGAGAAGCATGTGGAGTTAGACTATTTTTGGGTTCTAATCCCTTACCTACTTATGAATTATGACCACGGGCCAGCTTTCTGACCCTTGGGTGTCTCAGTTTCTGTACCCGTAAACTGTGGGCATGATGGTGTAGGCTGCTTGTTTGGGCTACAGACTAACTTGAGGGAAGGCAATATCTGAATCCATAATTGTCTACATCCTATTTCTTAGGTGTTGGATTTTTCATGCTGTCAGAGGACTAAATTACTCACAGGCATGGTTCACATAATCTGTAAGGAAAGCATCGACTGCCTTCAGGCATAAATGATCTACATGAACTAGATGACCTTTCATATACATGACTCCGTAAAACTCAATAAAATCAACGCATTTCAACTGG